GCTGCTGCTGCTGCTGCTAGTGCTGTCGCTGCACGTGGCCCATGTTGCACTCTTGTGCACTAATTACGAAAACTCAGCACGTTTTACTATGCCGTGCTGTGGTTGCCTGAGTGGTTAAATGCTGCAGTAATAGCAGCAGCAACATGCAACCGGGCTCTGGATTGGGCTGGGGCGATGGTATTGGGAGCCGCAGTGGCAGTGGCAGTGGTAGCGGCAGTGGCGGTGGCGGTGGCGCTGGCGATAGTGGTGGCATCACAAAAGTTAAAACATTGCGGCAGCAATAAAAACAACATTGCTCTGGGTCTGGCTTTGGCTTACAGTTTGAGTTCGGGTTTGGGTTCTGGTTTGGCAGGCAATGCCGCCGGTCCACCAACTGCGGTGCGCTCTGTGGGTGGCTGGCCATGGGCATGTGGCAATGGAACTGTATTACTGATGAGCGCTGCATGTTGTGCCACAATTTCGCCAAAGTCAATGCCTGAGGTTGCCACAAAACCGCTGCCACAGCAAATGTAACGCAATGATCAATGGCATAAAAATGAAGGATTTTCATTTTGTTTTTCGGCAATTGCCGAATCAGCGTGGGATAATGGCGAGCCAGCAGTTGACATTCTGCAACTTTGTAAATATTGTCAAGCACAAACTTTTCAGATATGTTCAGTCGAAGGTTTAATATTATTCACACTGGAGGGCTAATGATTGCTGTAAGGCTAAGAATGTAAGCTAATAGAGATAACAATAAAGGTTAAAGATAAGTACATGCGGATAAGTCATTATTTTCTCAATATATTTATGAGATTTTTAACAGTTGAATGAACTGTCGGGCTTGCTCGACTGTAGCGCTCTCTCTTGTTCTTTTTATATTGCTAGATACATACCACACTTGGCTTTAAAATAATATACCCCCACCGGGGCGTAGGTGTTTATTAGATATTACTGTAATTTGAATTGAATTCTCCTACTTAGGCTTTCATAGCTGAAAAGATTTTTTCTTATTCTAGTGGCACAAAAAAAAACACGTTATTTTTAAGCAAGTTGCAGTCAAAAAAAAAAAAAAAAATAATAATAATAATAATATTAATAATTTTAAATAGTCAGCTACCGAAGTAGATTATATTTAAGATACAATATAATTAAACGGAAATTATGTGAATTCAATAATTAATAAAGTGACGAGCAGTGTATGTGTCTTTGACGCGTGCAACAAACATTAATCGTATTAATGGTAATTTAAAAAAAATTTGTATTTCTTTTACTCTGAAAATGATGATATAAGTATATGTGTTAAAGGAAATGGCAAATAATTTTTATTTTAATATGCTTTAATATTTGATTTTAATTAGATACTAGAAATCGTACAATGTTTTAAAAAAATTAGGTGATATAAATGTAATTATCCGTGAGGATACTTGACTCTTTACTTACTTAGTACTGGAGTTTTGCTTTATTTAAGTTTATTTTTTAAATTGTTATATTTTTATAATATTTTAAAATATTGCCTTGAATGGGTAATCAAATTATATTAAAAAAGTTAAAGAGAATTGCACGTCTAACAAGATATTTAATAATATTTTCGATACTTTAAGGTGCTGCCCTTAAATATTTATTTCCTTTAAACTCCAACTCTCAAGCGAAAAGTGTCCTTTTCTCGGATTTTCAAATGCATCAAATATAAACGTGGCAACTCTCGACTCCTTCCTTTTAGGTACACTTTGATTTGCAACTATGACACCAACATGGAGCATACCAACTATGTATTTGCAATCTTTACGTCAGCTACATGGCCATAAAAATAAATTACACTAAGCTTAAAACTTATGTGCAGGCTATAAGAAAAATGGCTTATAGACGCGCAGCGTTTATGGCCAGCGACCTGGCGACCAAATGACCAATCGACAACGACCCTAAAAATGCCAGTGATGGACGTTATTGCTGTTTTGTTCCTGTTTGCGTGTGTGTGTGTGTGTGTGTGTGGCGTTCAATCGAAGCCAATCCTAATACAAAATGCTGGGCACAATATAAAAAAGGTGTCCATGTACATACATGTAATGCTAAAAACAATAACAACAACAAAAACAACAACCACTACTGCAACAGCAACAACCACGACGACAACAACTAACGGTAAAGGTAAAGACCCATAGGAGTCGAAGCTTAAAGCCGACAATGAAGACATTAACATGAGCAACGACGATGACGAGACGACAAAACGCAGCGCCGTCTCCGTCTCAGTCGCTGCTGCTGCTGCTGCTGCTGCTGTTTCTGCTGAGCTGCGGCTCATCACATTAATCTTCTTAATACGCCCATCAATAATTCAAAACAACGGCAACGGCAACGGCATGAGCATGACCAAGCGGCTGAGTGAGTGAGCGACCAAGCGAGTGAGGAATTGAAGTACGAGTAGTACCCGTACAGGCTAGCCAAAGTGCCAAATCCGAACCCAAGAACGCCTTCGTTTTACACTATACATCAAAAGTTTTGTGTCTTCGCACTTAATGAGCTTCATTAAGAGAGGGTTCTCCTGCTTTTTATAGCTATCGATTGGCTTAATAGTTTTAGCTTAGTTTCAGGTTTCAATAAAAACTTAGTTTTTTGATGTTTTTGATAATATAACTATTTAAGTATATTCAAAAACATATGGTTTTCCGCTGGACCAAAAAATGAGTTCCAATTATAGCTTGTTAGGGCCGTTTCTTAAAGGAATACTCGGAACCCTTTTCTTGTTTGTTTCATATCAAAGTATTGTTTTAAAAATGTAAACATGTATGTTTATTTGATTATGGTTTGTTCATTTTTGAAGTACGTTTTTTAAATGACAATTTATAAACATTCTATATATTGATGATTTACATGGCCTACAATTTATACATTTTAATATTAATGGTTTTTATTAAGTTTTTTATGTTTTCTTAATTGGGTAGGAAAGCCACAATTTATTGACATTTAAAGAAAAATAGAGGGATTTTAATATTTATATATCAATTTACCTTCTATTATACTTGTACTATTTATTTAAAAGTACGTCGAGAAAATGACATTCATATAAAATGTGAAAGTATATTTTTGAAAACAGATGACACATATCTTGAAGCTGGAAAATGGAACCATTTTATTACGAACAATAATTTATAATCTTAATAATGAATCATTTTATATGCAGGTGCCCCTATTTGAAGCAATACATAATTAACTAAAACAAAAAAAAAAACTTTTAATTAGTTCCTATTCTTCATTTGTCAAATTTATAATGAAAGCGACAAGAAAATTATTTAAATATAAATAGAATTAATTACATTTTTATTAATTGTATTTTTATTATTTTATTTTTAATTTTTTTATTTTTATTTTTGTTTAATATAAGCATCGAACCCGTACAGGTTTAGCACCTTAACAATACATGTTAGCAAATATAAATAGCCTACCTCGAGCACTCCCGCGCGAGGATTAATGAGAATTAATGACTGAAAATATGTTAATAAGAAAAAGAATGCAAATTGTAAGATTTACTCAATGATGTGAGATTGGAACATTCGTCGGTTGTCTTCTCTTTAGGCATCTGAAAAGATGATCATCTGGAAGGTGCCTAGCTAGTCTGCTGTGGTGAGGTCTAAATCGCTCGTTGTAACGACTGGCGTGCTTGTTTATCTGGAACGGTCTCCTAATTTAGATCAAGGTGCAGCATTGGATCTTCTATAGTTGGACTCTGCAGTCAACTAGAAATCTGGATACCGGAGCTCCTTTTCGCCACAAGTGCAGTTCAGAGCCATTGAAGATTGGACAATTTCCAGCTGCATAATCAATAACAAGAGCTGAGTATGCGCTTTAAAAACTCCAGTGACAAATCGATGGTAACATATTAACCAAAAATTAAGCTTGTCAGTATACATATGGAGAATAGTGTAGGCAAACATCAAGCAGGCATTGTGAATGACTTGAAGTGTGTTGAGTGAATTATGACGTACGTTTGCCAGTGCGTGTTTGGTTGCGAACAAAAACGCAACCGAAAAATAAAGAAAAAAAACTGTTTGTCGTATATCAAAATCAAACTATAGTATAAGATACAAATATTGAACTCTATTCCAATGGCTGACAATGAAACTTTATGGCTCTTTAGCCATTTGATTTATGCGCCCCCACAATGAATTACAAACGACACACAAGTGAAAATGCTCCTCGTTATGTCTCCTATCTTGGCCATGGCAGCAACGGTAACGGCAACGGCAACAGCAACAGCAACTGCCGAAACTGTCCAAACTGTTCCAAATTGTAGGCGTAATTGTATTTGAATGACATATGCGACGACGTCGCATTGTGCGCGTGACAAGCGACAGCTCCATTGTTCGGATCGGACAATGTGCAACAACAACAACAACAGCAAAGCGTGGCAAGAGCCTTTGATTCTCTGACCGCCAGAAATGTTCAACCTGGCAACCCGGCAACCTGGATGCCCGAAAAGCATTCAGCCTGGCAACCTGCGTAACTTGTGTCCCGTTGCGATTTTCGACACATTTGGTCCCGCTTGCATTGGAATTTTGAACTGGCTGGCTGGCTGACTGGCTGGCTGGCTGGATGGCTAGCTGACTGGTTGGCAATCGGCGCAAATTTTCACGCCTACTTCGGCGCTTATTCGTGCTCAATGGGAATGCTTTTAAAAGCCATGTAAATGCCTTTGTTCATTCAACATTGGCAGTCCGGCAAATTGGTTTTTTCTTTTTGACTCGACTCTTGTATTGCTACCCAAAATTCCTTGCACGCACACACGAGTACTCGTACGGCTTTGTGTTGATAAGCCGAGCTCAGCCGTAGACAGACACTTGTGTCAACTGGTTTTTGTCGAAATTCTGCTCAAATTTTTCGAAACCTTATCTATTGAAGCACTCAGTGAAAGTGTCACTAATTGTGTCAAAGGTTTGACTCCCGTTTGATAAGCCCTGATATACATTTGCCAGAACTATAAAAGACGCTGCCAGCTGCCGAAAAACGTTTAGTTTTGACAAGTGCTCATCAAAAACAAGAAGTAAGTGTGTGGAAGTGAAGCTGAATAAAAGAGGTTTAGCTGAATAAAAATGAATTGAAGGATAACGACAAATAACAAAACAATCAGTTAGCTAAAAAAAATATCGCGAAATATTGCTAAAGATTTATGTGAAAGTGGTCTAATAAGAAAGAAATTATTAGATCTTCAGATAAAATTCATTCAAAATTTCTTGTTTTTGCTGTTATAAATAGAGAAATTTATCTTACAAAGTTAAAATTATACTCCTACATTTATTTAAATAAATTTATATATTGGGTGTTTTATTTATTGGAGACCAAAAAAATATTTAGTCAAGACGGTTCTACAAAGATAGGTACCTTCTTTGAAATTCCACTTCCTTTTTTATTTTGCGTATAAAATTCATATTAAATACGAAAACCTGGCATGGATTGCAAGGCACAAGAAAATTTGAATATACGAATTTTTGAATCCGATATTGCCTTCTCCTCTGAAGCTACGGCTTGTGATTCAAATAAAAAAAAATGAATCTTTTTATATTTTTTACGGTTTACTAACTATGCTTTACTTCTTTGTGTATGTAAAAAATTTTCAATTTATTCATTAATTTATTAACAATTAATTCTATTCCAGTAGTTTAGTTTTTTACAAATTTGTATTGTCTTTCGTTTTAGCAAACATCCACCATGAACTTCTCCTGGTTCTCTGTCCTGATCTTTGCGATCTTCGCCGTCGTCGTTTCAGCTGGCAACTGCCCAGCCCCCTTCAAGGTCGACAGCAACCGTCTCTGCACAGCCGAGCGCACCATCAGAGGCGAATGCCCAGCCGGATCCACCTACAGAATCAATGTTAACAAGTGTGTCTACTCACGTTAGAAAGATTTAAGGCGAGACATATGGTGACTTGAACTGAATAAAGATCTGATTAATAATAAAAACAAACAGATGTGTGTTTTCATGGCCGCTCGACGAATGTCAAAGCGCATCAGTCGTTCTTTCCTAATCAGTGAACTGTTTTGCTATTTGCTGCTGTTTTCACTATCAGCCTACACTGACCTCATAAACAAAACTATTAAATGGCATATTTTCAGTTGAAAATTCTGCGATTGCATAAATAAAAGCGATAAGCCAGGCATTGCTGCCGTTGTCTATAAAAGCGCCAAAGGTATTGCAATGCAACAAACAGTTGCATTTCAAAATCAACTTCGGTGAGTGTTGAGCGTGGATTAACAAAAATTAAAATAAATACTTGGTGGCTTACCAATAGAGTTTTAGTTAAATTGTTCAAATAAAAATAAAATATTTGGAATAGTATTTGACTGCTCTTCATGTAAAATGCATTATGGGTTTGAAAATTACATGTTTCTTTGTCTAAATTCTACTCGAATGTAATTTACAGAGCAACAAAAATCCTTTGAAACTTTTATATACTTGTATAAGCTTGTGAACAAATCGTAGCCGAGTTTTCGAATGATACCCTCGATATTGAGACTAATTTTGTTTCTACATTTTAGATATTTAAAATGAACTTTTGCTGGTTTGTTTTGATTTTTACGGCCCTGATGGCCTGTGTTATGGCAAACAGCTGCCCCACTGGCTTTTCTGAGGAGCAGAATCGCTGCATCAAGGATCGCCCTGTGCATGGCACCTGTCCGCCCGGCTCCAACTATCAGCTAAATATCAATAAGTGTGTGCTGGCTTAAAAAAGATAAATAAAGCGATTGGACAACTATACACGTACTTGGTACATATACTTGTAGTATACGAGTCGCATACTACCAATTAATGTAGAGATTTGGAGGCGTTTGGCAAAAGTTCAACAAGTGTTAAAATTAACGAGCATGTCACGTCGAGGGGGCCAAGTGTTGAATGTGGATGCTGCAGCTGTGGGGCCATTAGTTTATTACCATGTAATTGACTCAACGCTTGTCAGACGCGTCAACAGTGTTGACTGTCGCTCCTGCCGCTTTAATGTGCTGCATTTAATGCCAAACGACTCGAAACCGCGACACCACGTCGACGGCTCAACACATCAAAGTCAAAACAGCTTTGGATGGTTGATCTGTCTGTGTGTGTGTTTGTGTGTCTCTCCTTCTGTCTCTCTGCCTCACTGTCAGTTCATGTATTTGACGTGATTAGCGTGATGGTCTGACTGTCTGACTGCCTGACTGGCTGACTGGTGCACTTTGGCCTCAGCTTGTTGTGCTGGTGTCTTATCACTTGGGCGGCTTTGATTTCGTAACATCTCACGACCACATACATAAACATATGTGTGTACAGCATTCATTCATACTCGTACACTCAGCGACTAGAAGAAGGAACTTAAAAGAGCCAACTCAACCTTTTCCGTGTAAATTTAAATACCAAAGCATTAATTTCCTATTAACGAGTACTTCTTATATCTTATCTTATATATAGAGTCGAAGGCACATTTTTTGATGGTCAAGCTATAATTCAAATGCAAATAGTTTGGGCCATCTGGCTGTTATAAATGTTAAATGGCAATTATTAATTTAATTAAAGTGATCAGAGGCCGCTTCATAGTAATCATGTCTTTTCCAAAATAAAAAACATTAATTTTTGGCAGATTCAGTTATATTGTTTTCTAACACCACACGGTCCAAATCATATTTTAGGTCGTTGCCCAGCATTATCTAGAGTATATCGGCACAAGCGTTTTGTATAATGCTTTTCTTTGATCAGAAAATGCATTTTCTTGCCAAATCAGGCAAATACGCAGAGTGGTTGATGGTGAAAATTAGATTTTTTGTCAAACTAAATCACATGTAATTAGTAATTGCTCTTGAATTGAGTCATCAGGTGACCACATATTCTTTCAGTGTAAAGATAATAAATACTTGTATATGTATTTGTCTAAACAATGCTCTTAGCTTGTCCGGTGGCTGTTCTAAAATTCATTAAAAAGTTTTGCAGCACCTAAAAAGAGCAATCTAAAACGTTTAATAGTAGCACAAAAAAAGAAACAGTTCACAAAAAAGGCACAAAAATAAATGAAAAGGACGAAACTTCCGCAAGTCCAAGCTGACGTCAGGATGTGCAGCAAACCCAATTGCATATGCCAATGTAACAAAGTTTCCAACTGCCGGCCAACTAAGGCCTGGTGGATAGGGGCGGGGGAGAGGGGAATACACAGGCTGTAAAATACAACCACTGAGCGTCTACCGCTTGTCACTGGGCCTGTAAATTTCAACGACTTGTGAGCGCGCGCCTCATAAAAAAGAAGGGGGGCCAGGCATCCGTTGTCGCTCGGCGCTTCCTTTGGCCTAAAAGTTTCCTGTCGTTGGCGGCAGGAAATAAGGAAATGTTCTCAGCAGTATTTGTTGCCTCACCAGCGACATTTATCAGTCAGTTGTTGTGTGTATGGGAATACGTGTGTGTGTGTGTGGTGTTGCTCAATGCGGTGTGTAGCGGTGCGGTCGGGCTGGCCTGCTTTACAATTTTAAGACTGTCGCAAGTTGCTGCAACAGACAGCGGCCGCAATGGCCGCATGTTTTTGTGCATGACGATAACCGAGTGGCACAGTGGCTTAAACTAGGGATACAGCTGCTATATATTTAAATATATTTTAGCTTTTTTTAAATGCATTTTTAGAAGTATACATATGTTGAATTAGAAATAGCGAGTATGCTTGAGTATCAATTAAATAGTTTTTTTTTATTTTTTCAATTATTTTTGTTTTACTTGTTTTAAATAAAAACACGTTTGCAAAGAACGAATTCATGCACACTAAGGTTTCTTTTATGTGCGAACGATTGCCAAAATTACTCTCAGCTTTATCTTTTTAGCTATACGTTTGGCAGCATATTTTGTTTTAGTTAAAGACACGATGATCATATTTCAGATGTGAAGTAAGTTATTCATTTAATTAATATCTTTCATTATTATTATATTTTCTATATTATCAACTTCTTCAACTTGAATTTTTAATTTATATAAACAATATAAATATGATTTATATATTTCTAAAACAAACTTTATGTACATTACGCATTTTAATAATTTCATTTAAGTTCTTGAAGTTTAATTTTATTCGTTTCAAATGTTGTATTCAATTTTAAAAGGCCTTTTTTAGAATAATTTTATTTGTTAGCGCTGTAAATTCCACGTATATGTACTATATAGTAGACATGAACATTTTAAATAAGCAACATATTTCACAACATAAGATGAGAAGCGTGAAAGAGACCGACTGCAGTAGTCTCTTTCCCCTTAATGTTCCAGTGTCCCTGCACTCATATGAGGCTTATATTGACCTGCAGGACTTTCTCGTTCAGAATTGATAAATATTGATCTACTGCTTTTAATGGTTGGGGATATGTAATCCAAAGCATCTTGTAAAGCTGCTGCTTCAGCTCGATCGACAATACATTGCTCCAGGAGATGGGTGAGAGTCTCTACTCTACCATCCAGCTTAGAACGAACCGTGAAAACGTAAATTTCGTTGATTCGGAATATATGCGGAAGCTTCCCTTTCTTTTTTTGTCGCTTGGGGATCCCTACTTTGCATGTAATTTTTTGAGTAAAATGGCATGCCCTGTAGGTGCGTCTCTCCATACAAGTGACCTTCTGAGCCCCAAGGCCTTCTATTAATTATTATTAAGCTTATACGTCGCTTTTCTACACAAAATAAATATTGACATAAAGTTACTTGAGGATTGTATTTTTGCAATTCAAATAATGTTGGTTTATAAGCAGTATTTTCTTCTTACCACCGCTTTTTCTAAATTTTTTCACTCGGTCTGGGCCTGAAGGCCATGTTCTTGCTGAAGTACTGCAACTCACGCGTAAATATGACGAACGTAAGCAGTAAAGTTCTGGCCAACTGATAGCTATTGCCGTCGCCTTATAAACACAACGCAGTGCTGGCAAAAAGTTTCTCAAGACGAACGTTTGTCCTGCTGCCTCACGAGACGAGGACAATGAAAATGACGGCACAAGTTTTTCTGCCTCTGCTGCTAACGTTGTTGTTGCTCTTGGCTGCATTTCAAGAATGTTGCGGCTCACTCTTATCGCCGGAGCGGCGGTCCGCCGCCATTGTCCTGCCGCAGCAGGATGCTCGCAAAAATGAAAGTGTGTCCATAATTTCTGCTGGCGGTGGCCTGTGGTGCTTGCTGTTGCTGTTGTTGCATTTCTTATTGCTGTTTCTGTACTTGTGCGTGTGTGTGTGTGGGTGTTGGAAAAACTTTAACGTGCCATTATAGTTATTGACGCTGTCAAGCATTTACTCACAGTTTATCCTGGAGTGTTGGCAAATCGTTTAAATTGTAACGCCTTAAGGCCATTCTTCTGCTGCCATAGTTGTGGCTGCTTGATAGAAACTTAAAGCCAATGCGGCGTATGAGTAATTGCGACCAATTTTCTGTGGCAACCACAGCGCGGCAACATCTAATTACAAACGCATGTCTCATGGTAACCACCTCCCCCTTCCCCCATCCAACATGCATGGTGCTTGTCTCCGCTTGTTTTAGCCGTGCATTCAACTTTTCAACAAAAACGACAAAACTAAAAACAAGATGGCGGTTTCACGTACGCATGTAGAAGTATGCGTGTGAGGATGCGTTTGTGTGCGCGCCCCAAAGGCACAAAAACTTTAATTTGAGTTATTTGCATGAGTAGTTGAAATTATATTATAATTTTACCGCCATGCCAAAAACAAAAACTTTGTCATTGCCATTAGCGAGACAGGCAGTGCAATGAATAAGTTTGATAAGAGGGGAGAGTGTGGGCTGTGATGGTGGACCCGGGATGGTGTGACTCGTTATTGCATAGCTCATAGCTGTGGCTGTCGCATTCAGTGTTTGCCAAATGCTTTTAATGTGACGTGAAATGGGCGCTCTGGCAAAAGTTTTGCAGACAAATGCAAAAATTTCGGGGCTACCACCAAAATGCATGAACGAACTTGTTTGGGGAAAACACATGTTTCATCAATGCAGAATCGATGTATGTGCATTTCTGTGCGGTTGCCGCGTGTGCCAAACTTTTTGCCAAATAACTTTAAATGGTGTATTCAAAATGGTCGCATAAAGCCTCTCTATAAATACTGACTATTCTATACTAAGTATTTGTAAATAATAATAATTGTAAATAAATAGAATACTGATTTTTATATTAACTCCTATTAAATAATATAGTACAATATATTGCAAAAAGGACTGAGACATTGCAAAATAATTTAAATGCTGCAGAATTTCAACTGTTTGCATGCTACCTCGGTGTTATAAATGCAGTTGTTATTTTATGATTTGATTTATTTCTGAATTATAATTATATTATTAAAGTAAGCAAATATTTAGAATTGGTAAAGGCTGGTTGACGACGTTTTGTAACCGCGGACAGAAAAACCGTAAAGTCACGCAAAATCAGAGCATTCGTTTAACAGAAAATTTGGTATTATGTAAATTAAGTATTGAAGGAATGATCCATATTGCAGGATTATACAAATAACAATCCCAAGTAATGGTGGTATTACTGCAAGTGATTTGACTTTATTAGATTTCTTTCAGAACGGTTATTTAAAAGTCTGCACGGTCAAAAATTGGGGGCCAAGCCACTTTCCCAAATACAAGCCTTACTGAATTGGGTGGATAGAAAAACGAAAATATCAACAACTATCATAAGAGCTACTTTATAAAAGTATATAACGACTTCTTTATGCTTTGCAATATGTCTTCACCTCTATTTATTTTTTTAAGCACAAAACTACAATTTCGAAT